GGCGGCGGCGGCGGACAGAGCGGCTGCCAGGCCGGGCAGGAGCAGCCCGGCGCCTTGCGTAACCTGCCCTCCGTCCCCTGTCCCGCGGCCAAGTCTGCGCTGAAAATACAACCAGAAAACAGCTTAAAGCAATTAACGAGGATGTTATTCTCCGTTTCAGACCCCATTCCAAAACACCCTTCCACTCGCAGCACTTTTCAAAGGGAGAGTAGCGCCTGGCCGGCCCGTCTTTTCCGCTCGGAGGACTTCGTGGGGCCACCCTGCATGAGAGGCCTGCTCGCGCCCCCTAGTGTACGCAGGCGCCCAGCGCCGCTCACTGTTGGGTCGGGGAGAGGCCAGGCCGGGAGAGTCGGGTGGGAGAAATTGGGGCCAGAAAGTCTGATTGCGTGAGGCCTGGATCAGATGACGAAAACCGCACTTTCATTCTCGATTCAGCGCAGGATTTAGGGGATCGTTTTTCGTCAGTTCGCCCCTGTGCTTTCCTTTGACTCCAAACTGGCCCCTCAAGCTTGCAGTGTTTCTGCCTCCATGACTGAAGAAACGGGAAGACCACTCAACATACCTTAATCTCCCTGAGAAGCTGTAGAATGAGTCTCTGTCGTGGCTGTAATGTGCAGCAGCCTATTCGCTCTAAAGCCAGACACTCTGCACGTCCAAGGTCATTTGTTTTGCTACTGTTGTGAAAATGTTTCCATCTTTCTCGGGTAGAGAGACAACGTAAGGCTAGGGCTATGATTCCCAAACAACAGACAGATATGGAGGGTCAGGAAGTTCTGAACACCAAGTCCTTTGTATCCTGATAATTCTGTGGCTCTTTCCCTTTCCATCCTGTCTTTTTTTCTGAAAAGCAGGCAGAGAAGAGTTCAAGTAAACATAAAAAGAATCTGCTGTGCAGAAAGCCAAGGCAGGAGGGGCACCATTGTTGGATAAGAGTATCAGGAGCCATGGAGACCCACACAGAAGGATTAACAAGCACCCACTGAGGATAACTAGGACCTTTTCAGACCGAAAATCTTGAGTCCTCAACCACATGGTCCCTCAGCCTTCCGAGGTTGACTACTTTGATTAGTGTCAAGAACGGGGGTGGCAAATAGTTTCATATTCTGTGCCAACATTAGTCAACTGAGGAGCCTAAAGTATTGTATTGAGAGTGTTCCTGAAGGTTGGGTTTGAGGAAAAGCATTATGATTGATTGGTGATGTCTTCCCTGAGCACAGAACAGAGGAGAGCTGGTATCCATGGCAACGAGGCAAGAAGAAAAGAGAATGCACCATATGAAGATAGCTAAGCCAACGCGCCCTTCAGTGGTGTTGGTCGCTCCTGCACTCGGGGACTGAGCGGATGGTGTGGTTTTTCCAACTTCCCAAGTTTCTTAAGGTCAAGGGAACCTTATTCGTCCCACCTTCCCTCTCTTCAGTTTGGAGCCTCACAGCTGATGTGGAATAACAACAGGAAGGAGGCAAGAATGCTCCTGAGACCCTGGCGTGACCACTCAGTTCCTGAGTACAAATTGAGCATGACTATATGCCCAGCAGGTGGGGAAGTGCTGAGGGCGTATAGAGAAGGGAGGGAGATACAAAACATGTGTAAGCTGAGATCCTCCTCAGTTACACCTCCTAGAAGAGACAGTTAGAGGATCGGGGTCATTGCGGGCACCAAACAATCACCAGAGATGGAAGGAGAGGTGAGCGAAAGGTAAAGCAGTCGCCTGCCTCTGACCCCACAGTCTCTCAGGCAGCCACAGACCAAAGGGAGGAAGCTGCTGAGGACCAGGCCTGGCCCGAGACTGCACACCAGGCAATGCAGGGGCTCCACAGGTTGCCACGGAGCACCAGGCAGTCTCCACTGCCGCATCCCCAGGGTACCTTGAGCCTTTCTGTTTCTCTTCATTGCCACTGGCCCCATTCTGGTCCCAGCAACTGTCTCCTCTTCCTGGAGGTGTGCTGGCCCCCTGACAGCCCTACTTGGGTCTTCTGTCTGCCTCCCCTGCTTTCGCCACCCTCTGCTCTAGGGGCCCTCTCTAAACAGCACTGAGCACTCAGCGGAGTAATCTTTTGAATACATTCCGTTTCACCATCGCAAGCTTCTCCCCCAGGGCCTCCCCTGTTTACTTAAATCCAGGTTAAAGGAGCTGCAACATCCCTCTCCAAGCCAGCTTTTCCCACCCTTTCACTTGGCTGTAACCCTTTACCCACACCTGAGTCTTTATGTGGCCCTTTGGAGTGAGTGCTCTTCTGGCTCAGACCCTGACACAGGCCCCTGTCCCCTAAATTTCACACCCTCCCTCTCTACTTTGCGGATATTTGTCATCTCTCAGCTTGAATGTCACCTCCTCGGGGACTTCACATAGCCTTTGGAGCACCCATCACCTTTGTAATTGTTGGTAAAACCATTTATGTGACACCTATTCCCTGCTTGCCTGTAAGGCTCAAGAGAAATCTGGGATGTCCTTCTTTGCTGCATGCAATACCTTAGGACTTAGCACAGCCCCAACACATTTCCTGGCATGGAATAGATGCCGAACATTTATTGACTAAATTAATAAAGGGGGGAGAAGAGAGATGGATGGATAGATGAGTGGATGGACGAGTGGAAGGAGCTTTCAGAGATGAAGGGTGATTTCTACTTCTTGCCAGTTATATGGAAGAGATAAGTCCTGTGGATTTGGTGTCACGAAGCAAGGGAGACAATGAGGAGAAAGCTGGGTTGACCACAAGAGAGGGGCAGAGGGCAGGTCAAGGTCATCGCTTTAGTTCCCAGGAATCTGAGCTTTGCCTTTCCAAGACTGCCAGGAATAAGTGTCCAGGATTCCACTTCCCAAATTATAATTTAAAAAAGAAAAATCCAAATGAGAGCTGAATAGATCAGAGGGAAGGGAATCCAGCTTTGAGCATCCATTCATGTTGCTAGGAAAGTCATATAAAAATAGGTCACATTTCTGTGCTTTCGTGGCTGCTTTGAGCCATTCTAGCCTGCCGCAGCAACCTAATTGCCAAACAGTATGTTGCTTTGCCATGGGGCCATCTGAAATCTAAGAAAGCACAGAAGTCTAGCAGTTTCCCAAGCCTATTCTTTTATAAGGCGGACTCTACAGACTTGTACCCACTAATTGACTATGTAAATTACTACCTCATGTATCAGTTGCAACACAAGGGGACTGGAATATAGTATTATTTTTGGCTCCTTGCTGCCAACTATACCGGTGGGAGGAGGGTTAGGGAGCTGGGCTTTAGGGATTCCACTTCAGGAAAAGTCCAGCAAGGTCTTCCAAAGAGGTCAGGTTCAAGAATTCAGCCATGATTTTCTCAGACACCCTGCTGAGGTCTGGGTCTGCTTTCCCCAAGGGAATTGTGCTGCTTTCTCGTTGAACCATAGCGGAGGTGTGGGCTCCATTCTGCCAGCAAAGTCTGTTCAGAGGTTGGCTGATAGACACAAAGGACAGAGCATCCCATACAGAACTGTTGCGTGGACAAAGGAGCAGCTATTCTAGTTACCACAGAGGACAGCTTGCTTGGCTTGCTGGGAAAGGCCCACTGCTTGCTCCCATAACAGCCTGCAATCCCATACCCCTGTAGTACTCACTAGTCCTAGGCAGGAATTCTCTGAGCAAAGGATGGTATCTGTCTTGTTGAGCTGTGTCCCACCCCCTTGCACAGGGTCCAGCCTCTGGACACTGGTGACTAAATGTTTACTGACAAGGAAAATGCATGTGCATAAAGCCTTGTGGATATAGATTAAGGGTTGGATGTCAACTAGAGCTTTGTAATCACTAGAAAAGCCCAGTGATGGAATGGGCTGGCTTGGAAGGAGCCAGTCAGGGCCAGCAGCTCCTCAGTATAAATTTTAGACCTCTTGGGGCAGCAGCAAAGCATTTGGAGGTGAGTCCACCACCTCTGGAGTCACACAAATCGATGCCAGAGTCTTAGCTCTGCACTTTGCATCCGTGTCTACATCTGCAAGATGCAGTTAACAGTCCAGTTTGAGTTCCCCTAAAGAAGAGCTGGAGACCAGGGTGTGAGTGCAGGTGTTTATGTGGACGGTGATCCAGGAAGCAGAAGGGAAGTCCTAGTGAGAGTGAGGCAGGAAGCCCTGCCCATCATGTGGGCCTCACTCCTGCTGAGGGGTCTTAAAGGAACAGCGTGGACTGTGCCCAGAATGGTCGGTGTGAAGTGCGAAGGGCCTGACACTGTCTCCCGCCTCCTGTCCCCATCCTTCAGGGTGATTTCCCCTGCTCTGCCAGGCTGCATCTCTCAGTGGCATGAGGCTTTCACCCCTCCCTGACTCAGAGGGCCCTGAAGGTGGGGAGCGGCCCCTCTTGGCCACAGCTAGAGTCAGAGGTGGGCGGGATGTGTGTGGCTCAGGCCCTGAGTGCCCATCTCCTCTATTTCCATGGTTACCAGAAGGAATGGGAGCCCCAAAGGGAAGGGTGTATCAGGTCTGTAGTTACTCAAGAAGTAGGCTTTATAAGCATTAAATGATATTCTAAAACACTTAACATAAGACCTGATAATAATGCACCAGATGCTGCTGCTGTTATTAGTCCTGGCTTTTCTTTATTAAGAGACAATGATGTTTTGAGAGGAACAGGAATCATTTGGAGTAAATTTGTAACCTTTAGGTTTATTAACTTGGTTGGAGAACTCAGTGTTTTGAAGAAGGTGGAAATAGTTCTGGCCTTGACCTACAGAATGAAAGATCCAGGCAAGGCCAGCCTTTCAGATATCTGGGCACATTGGAATTTCTCATTTGGCTTTTCTTAAAACCACTGCCTTTAATACCCTCTGACAGGTGTCCTGATGATTTTCTGAGTTGAACTGACAGTTTTAAAGCAGGAACAATGGGATTGTGACAGGGAGAATTATTTGGTGACACCAGATGTCCTAAAATGGTGGCTTCGCTCTGGACACTCATGAAAAATGAGTGCAGAAAGTTGTACCGACACCCTTGTAGCCTGAGATCCAATCCTGCCCTGAGGTGTATAAGAACAAGTGGCTGGAATGTTTCCCTTCCTGTAAATTTCCACCTGGGCCAGCTTCAGCTCTTCTGCAGGGAGACTGAGCCCCATGGTAGGAAGACAAAGAGGGGCAAGGGGCAAGCAGGAGGGACGTCTTATTTTCTTGCTAGACAAGGTCCATGATGCAGAAGAGCTTCTTTCTGCAATCCTGGGCCTTGAACTGGTTCTGCTCACTAACGGGAATCTCATCTCCACCCTGAACAGACTGGGCCTTAGGGAAGAAGGCAGGTGCTGTCCCGTGGGGGGCTGTGTACCCAGCACAAAAGTGATGCCAGTGAGATCCGGGACCCCTTGCCGTGGCTTCCCCTAGGTTGGGAATTCCTGGGTGACCGAGCTCTTCCCGCAGGGACCGTGTTGTGGGCACAGCTGTCCTAGCAGCCACTTTCTGCCATCACCCAATTGGGCACACGTCAGTCCTCCATTGAACGGCCCCCCTGAAGACCGAAGAATCTAATTTTCAGCCATTTGATTTCAAGCCAGCTGTGTTTTTCCCTGTGGCATAAGGTGCTCAGCCTCTACTGACCGAAGCAGGAGCAACTGTCTGGTGCAGCCCGAGACAGGGGTTCAAATACACGCTGGCATGGACTTCCCTGTCAATACTAATGCATTCAGGAAGCTGAAGGTGGCTCCCAGGACGGCTGTGTCAGGCCTAGCATTTAAATATTTAGTGGCCAAGTAATTACTGTAATAATTAATTTCTGTTGCTTAATCTAGCAATCAGGCATGTCGCTTTACACATGGGAAAATCTTGGTCCCTATAGGGGCATGCACAAGTGTGTGTGTGTTTCTGTGTGCCTGTGTGTATGTACAATACAGTGCAGCAAATGGTATTTAGTTAGGGTTTGGAGATATGGAATAAATAAGATGCTTTTAGGGCCGGAGGTGGAGATAGCAGCAGGCCTTGGGTCCAATCCTTAGAAAACAAAGAGATGCCTTCAGTTTGGATTGTAGTCATAGGGTCTGAGAGAAAAGCAGAAAGAAAAATAAAGAGAAACAAAAATTAAACACTTCAAACTTCAAATACCAACTTGGAGAGAATATTTCCCCATTAGGGTTTGGTTAAATGTTATAGTTTGTGGCTTTGGTGGTGAAAATCGGAAAGCAGCTAATCTTATCCAAATCTTGCTCTTGGCTTTCTAGAGCTGTGCTGCTCTATAGAAATCTTCTATAATCTACATGTACTCTTAAATTTTCTAGTAGTTACATTTTTGAAAGGCAAGAGAGCAAAATTATTTTTGATAAATTCTACTTAACACATATATCTGAAATACTATGATTTCAATAGAATAATATTAATGGGATATATCACATTTTCCCTTCACACAAAGTCTCCAAAACCCAGCATATGCTTTGCACTTACGCCAATATCTCAATTCAGTTTTTTTAAAAAAATCAGTTTCTCTGTCTTACCAGCCACATTCTCATGTGACTGGAGGTCTCACTCGCCAGCACAGAGATATGGGGTACTGGCCCCAGACACCTCTATGAAGCCATCACTGGAACAGAGGGAACTCTGCCATTGAAGAAAGAGGTCCATGTTGTCTTGTGCACCCCAGGATAACTTGATTCAATTTAAGCATTTATTGGACACCTTGATAGGTTAGAGTAGGAATTGTATTTTCTCATCCTTAAACCCACTCTTCGCTTTAATTTTCTAGGGGGTGAGTTCTTAATCTTCCCAGGGATCGTACCTGAGGACCCAGTAAATATTCAGTGAATGCCCAGCCCCATGCAACAAAGAATGCAGAGTTAGAACTGAGACTGACACTGAATTCACAGACCTTGCCGTCCGGTGCTGTCAACACAAAATGATGGGAGACTACTTGACAGTACAGAGTTTGCTATCGTAGCAAGTAAGAGTACACACCAAAAGGAAAGGGAAAGGAAAGGTCACTGCTGGCTGTACTTACTAAAGATAAATTTTAAGGATCAGTATCTTCCTTACATGTTTGGTAGGCCCAGACAGAAGGCATTAAGGAAGAAGAAATGCACTATGGGAGTCCCAAGAGCATCCTCCCTCCGTATTCCCTAAGCCTGGGGTCATACCTGGGGTTGGTAGCTCTATTCAAGTCAGCTCAAACAAGGAGCTATTATACCTCCAGGGCATCAGGCTTGACTCTTCGGAATGCCTCCATTTTCCTTTTCCCCCTCTATTTTAAACTTTCCTTTGCTATCCCCTACATAATCATTGGAGTTCTGTTTAAGGATTCCTAGCTCTCCCCGACACTTCTGCTAGGATTACACTCCCTGGACCGCTGCAGTTGGGTAGGGGTCATGTGACTAGTTCCAGCCAATGAGCTGCAAGTAGAAGTGAAGGGAGCCTTTCAGAAGGCCAGAGCATTTAATTGTCAGTGTGGGACCCTTTAGAGCTTTTTATGAAGAACTGCTTAAGGTGGTAGCTGTCCTGTTAGTCTGAGCCTGTGAACAAAGATAATGATGAGAGCCTTTCTGCTGGCTCACGTGGGCACATCACAAATGGGAGACACGATTGGCACATCACTGTAGGTTTAAGTCCCCTTCCAGAGCACTGATCCCAGGATTTGTCTATGTCCCCTAACCTGACTGATACCCCACTCCATCCAGAGAAGGCACAGACTTCCTGAGAAGGGAAGGTTTGGAAGAGGAGAAAAATGTCTCTCAGCAGCGCTGGAATACACTTCTCCCCTCTGCTAAAAGGATCACTTTTCGTGGTCACCCAAGATGTCAGGAACCTCCTCTTGCAGCCATCCAGCATCCCTGGAATACCCTTCTCCCCTCTGCTAAACAGACCACTTTCCATGTTCACCCAGCTTGTCAGGAACCTCCTCCTCCTGGGAACTTGAAGCTCTAGATCAGGACAAATCTAGCACCATCCCATTGTTCAACCCACCCCATAGAAGGGAGGTGCAGTCAGCACCCAGTGAAAGGTGTTGGGGATGAGGTGTGGGGAAGACACACAGACCTGTCCCAGAAAGACAGAAAGAAGGGGGCAATGCAGCCTGCCCACTGAGTTTGAAGAAAATCGAGGCCTTAGAGCCAAAGAGGGTCTTTTTCTCCTTATAGTCTTTGTCAGTTGTTTATCAAGAGTAACTATCCCTTAGCCCACATACCAGGGTTTCATAGTGCAGGAACACAGGTCAGTAACAAGCTTCCATAGAACTCACTCCAAAGAAATTATTTAAATCCTGAAATCACTTTGCTGCGAAAGATACCATCTTTCATGGAATCAGAATCTCTGCAGAACTCAGTGTACACCTTCCTGTTGGTTCAGCCACAGCAAGCAGAATTACAGACCCCAGGGAGACCAAAAAAAAAAAGAATAGCCAATGATGTCCACCGCTGAGGCTTTGTCTGAGCTCTTGGAGACCGTGGCAGTTTTCATCTTCACACCTACATCCTTCCCAGCTGATGGACAAGTGGACGGCTGGTGGGTGTCTCAATTGACCATGAACCTGCTGCTCAGCCATCCCTCTTCCTTTGCAGGTACAACTACATGCTGCCTCTCAAGCATCCTCTCCCTTTCTTTGCCTCTTTCAAACAGGCTTGAGGAGGAATGTTGGGGATCAAACTCAGGCTGCACACAAGCTAAACTTGTACTGTACCACTGAGCTATATCTCCAGTCCCAAAACTAGTCAGATTCTCCCTTCCTAGGTGAATGACAGGCCTTACACTTCCTGTCCATCGCTGAACACATGTGCATAGAACCCCAGCCTCCTCTGCGCTCACCTAGAGACACAAAACTGCACTGCATGTGTCCCGATCCTCATGGAGTTTCAACTAGCAGGGGCTAGAAGTAAAGCTGAAAATCCAGAGATGAATTTTAAGTGCTTGGAGCCAGCCAAGGGTTGCAAGAGCCCTTGCCCACATAAGAAGTCAAAAACCTAGCAGCCAGGGTGAGTGGGCAGCCACTGGGCAGAACGAAAAGAGAGACTCCCCCACCATACCACACACATACGCACACACAAAGCAGCAGCAGCAAGGAGCACAGAAGTGTGCAAGAGCTATGCCCATAGAACTCAGCTGGTCCCACTCAGAGAAGGCAGAGTGGCTGGGGATGAAAGGTGGGAGGTGCTGTGGCCAGCAGTAGATTAGTCGGAAATGGAGAGGACAAGGGCAGATCCCCCAGGGCCCTGTACCCATGGCAACGGTGATATCCACAGGCCAGCTGAGAGGCACTGTAGGGATTTCAGCAAAGGAGTCCCTGGGTCCAACTTGCACATGGTTGGGGAGGAGAAAGCAGTGCTTCTGTGAGCTGGGCCACCCAGCAGAGAGCCTTCTGGGTGCTTATTTGTGGATCTGTATCTGTCTGTTATTTGTGGTAAGTAGAACTTGATAGCACAGGTAGCTTCTTTTTAAAGATAGGTCCTGGCACAAAGTACAGAATGGTGAGGCGCCTGGTGTCTTCCTGGATTAGGGCCAAGGTGGAAAGTTTGAGGGGAGAGAAGCTATAAGATACACACAGTCAGACGGGGAGAGGAACCAGCTAGGAGGTGAGAAAACTGGCGAGGAGGAGATGCAGTACCTAAATGGGAGAACCACCAAAAGTACTTTTCATTGGTGAAGTGAGTGGTGGTGATATTATGTAGAAGATGTACACAGGCACATTTCTGTGCTTGCTCAGAGTCCAATGCCTTAGCTTTAGGGTCCTGTCCTCCCTTCCCCTTTTCCTAGCCCCCTTTGCCACATTTAACAGAGGATCTTGTCACTTGATCAAATGCACAAGCTCGTTGATTCAGCTACGAGAATCACATTGTACTCATTTTGAAGGTGTGCGGCTGCAATCAAGATTATACCCATGGCTATTGTCTGGATTTGGAACGTCCTCCAAAGATCCATGTGTTAAAAGACATGGAGCTCAGTGCGATTGGGAGGTGGTGGAACTTTTAAAAGGTGGGACTTAGGGGGAGGAAGTTAAGCCATTGGGAGCATGCCCTGGAAGGGGATACTAGCTCCCCTACTCCCTCTCTTTCTTCTCTTGCTAGATGCTATGAGGTCAGAAGCAACAGACCAACCAACCATGGACTGAGACCTCTGGACCTGTGAGCCAAAATAAACCTTTTCTCTTTGTAAGATGATTTATCCCAGGGTCTTCTTACTGCAAGGGAAAGCTGACTAACACCTTACTCAACCTCCAGATAGAGTGGCTTAGAGTACACCATTTATTTCTCACTTGAGCAACCATCTCTAGGTGAGAGAGCCTGGTTGACAGAGCAGCTCTGCTCCGTGCAGTAATTCAGGGGCCCAGGTTCCTTCCATCTTTCTGCTCTGTCATCCCACTGGGCATTGCATGGTTTGTAAGGTCAGAGCTGAGTGATGAGTATTTCCACTTGTTTACTCGTACGCAGGAATAAGGAGGAAATGCAGGAGCTTGGTTTGTCTTTTAAATCGCAGTGTAATTTTTAAGTTGTCTTCTGAACTGGGTGACCCGGGCTATCTCCAGAGGGTTGCACATATCCTTTCTGCTCACATCTCATTGGCTCAAACTTTATCACAGATGCACCCTGGGTAGATGAAATCCAAGAAGTGAAGCTTCTGGGTCAACAGCATCTGCCTACCTTGAACCACTCCTCTAAAGCAAGGGGAAGTGGATGCTGCCTCATAACCCTTCCTTAAAGTTCTTATTAAGAATGTAAGAGGACAGAGAGGAGCAACCTCCTAAGAAAGGCTGACTCTAGTTTTTGTGCCTACTTGTTAGTAGATACTTGTGCATGTGATAGAACTTGGCCTCAGAATTGTTTTCACGACAACCTATTCGACGCAGACATTGTGAAGACTTGACCACCCGGAGTATGGGGATATCAGCGTCACTCTGGAGTCCTTAGGATTCAGACCTAAATCCAGGCATCCTGAGCTGGAATCTTTACAGTATCTCTGGATGACAATGGAGAAGCAAAGTCTCCAAGCACATTATTTGGTCTCCATTGGCTTCTACAACTGGAAGAGCCCAGACAGCGCCTATGATGGTGATTTTCAAACTGTGACTAAGAACCCACTATTTAATAGTGATATCATTTTAGAAGATTGAATACAGCATTGAAAGAAAGGTAGGATAAAAAAAAAAAAGAAAATACAGTGCATCACACATGGCCTTTTAAAGTTATATACATGAGGGAGTGGAGATGCAAAATACAACTCCCACTGTAACTCATTGTCAGAAGCGGAACATGTGGACCAGGGTTTCAGCCCAGTGTTTCCGCAGCCTGCCTCACAAGTGCAAGGTCCCAACTTCGATCCCTGGTACAAAACAAAAGACAAACAAAACCAAAAACCAAAAACAAAAACTGAACATGTTTTGGAAAGCCATGGAGGCAAGGGACAGACTGGGACATTCACAGACTTTGCTGTACACAGTCCCGGGGTTGTGTCTCCTCTGATCCCTGAACCGCGGGGCTCTGGCCTTATGTTCTTGATTGTTCCGGTTGGGAAAGTTTCCAGGACCCCTTGGGTATAAATCCTTGTGGCTCCTTCCCTTCCTCTCAGTTGTACCCATTTTCCTTTAAATCCCAGGGACGTTGTCTGAGGCGTCCTAGCTGACACTAAACCCAAACATTCCTAATTCTTTGAGCCTCAGTTTTCCTATTTGTAAAGGAAGTTCCTTTTGCCTGCAAGACCTGTGAGGCTCAGCCCAGGCACTGAAACGTGTGTCGGGGACTTGAGTACGGGGGAGGGAGCGGGATGGAGTGGCCCACACTTTGCCCGGTCCCAGGGTGTGGCAGGGGAGGCAGAGTCAGGCGCGGCTCCTTGCTGCCTGGTCCCCGCCCCCGTCACCCCTGGCCCCGAAGCCTCTGTCAGAGGACGGTGTGGCAGCGCCACCGTGTGGTCCCGTGACATCAAAGCGCCCGGGCTCTGCAGCTTCACTTGGGTGCAGCCGACGTGGCCAGATAGGTGGCCGGGATGCGACGCGCGGCGAGGCTGAGCGGTGGCGGGGGACGCCTAGTGCAGGCTCCCCCCGTTTTTCTTACTTTGATCCTGGAAGAGCTGTTAGCGTCACCAGGTGCAGAGTGGAAGAGGCAATCTGTGTCCCGTCCCTGCGCTCGGGGGCACCTGGGTCAGGGACTGTCCCGCTCCCCAGGGGGACACCGGAAGGGTGGCGCTGCGCGCTCCGACCGTCAGAGGCCAGGCTCTTCGCGCCTCGGTAGCCACAGCGCTCTAGTCTGGTAAAAACAAGCAACCCCTGACCCCTGGGACTGGCAGCCTGGGATCCAGGCGCTGGTTAACTCCCGAATCCAGGCAAGAGGTGCAGGCAGCTCCCCCCGAGGGTGCCCAGGCGGACAGGGATAAAGGAGACGGGCAACAAGAACGGGCAACGAGAAGCACCTATGCCTCTAGACCAGGACCTGCCTTCGGCACCGTGTCCACTCCGTCCCGGCGTGGCCGTGTCCCAGGTCAGATTCGCCCAGAGGTCTCCGATATCCTCCGGACCAGGGCTTTCTTAGCGCTTTGCCAGAGCGGTCAGGTGTGCCGATCCCTCTTACTGTGGGGACACAGCCCTTCCCAAAAGACGCAGACACACAAGTTAAGCCTTTATTTATTGGCCTCACACTGGGTAAGTCACTACGCTAACTTCACCTTACAGGCCTTGGCGGCGTATAACTGAGGAAGATGAGACGAAAGGAATTTGTCCAAAGTCAACCAGTTAAGTAGGGATAGGTGGGAATCCAAATCTCTCTCCTACTTCACCACTTGGGGGATAGCTGGCCCCCAGGTCCCCTTCCCTTCTCCACCCCAGCCTTCTCCGCAGGGGCAACGGCTTTTTATTGAGCAGGGTCAGAGAAAGCTGGAGATTTGGGTCAAAGACTCACGGTTTAATCAGAGGACCCATGTTCCCACCCATCCCCACTGCGGTCACACCCCCAGGAACGCCCAGCTGCATCCACATCTGCAAAATAGGAGCTCAGGAAGGTTCCTGCCATCAGTGTCTTGCAGCTTCCTGCCTTGACAGCTTCCGCTGCCCCAGGTGAAGGAATGGAGGCAGAGAGCTTTCCTCCAGAGTCTAGCATTCATTATCTGTCCTGCCCGGGTGTCCTGGGGGTGTTCACGAGCCAGAGTGCCAGCTTAAATCTGCACTTCCAGCTTTCTAAGCCCATTCTCCCCTGCGATTACTACTAACAGCTAATGATTTTAAAGCACTTGTCAAACGTTAGCAAAATCCATGAATTAACGCATTTATTGTTTACAAAAAAAACACACCAAGCAGTATTATTAGCCTCATTGTCCACATAAGGAAAGGAAAGCACAGAGAAGTTAAGCATCTGGCCTGAAGTCACATAGGGAGCAAGTGACAGAGCCAGGCATTCAAATTCTTGCCATCTTGGGGCACCTGCTCCCGGAACTCCGCTGCCACACTCCCAGGAAGCCAAGCAGCTGCTTGGAGAAGCCACATGTGGGTGCTCTGGCCGATGGTCAGCTGAGGCCCCAGCTGGCAGCCAGCATCAATCCTCAGGGAGCATCTTCAGCTTTCCGCCACTCCAGCTGACGCCACAGGGAACAGTGGAGCAGTCCCTGCCGATCTCTGCCAAATTAAAGACCCATAAGCAGAGTAAGAGATTACTGTGTAGTGAAGCCGATTCGTCTGGAAGTTTTGCGCCCAGTACAAGATTCTCAGCACTCGCTTCCACTGTTACGATCTGCTCTTCACTGAGCTGCTTCGGGCGTAGCCCCTTCGGAACAGACAGAAGGTTCCTCCCGGAAAACATCTGGAAGCAGACGGCAGGACCCAGGTCTGCTTCTCAGAGGGAAGGGGATACAGCAGAGCAGTAAGAATGAACTGACCGTGTCCACCAGCGAGGATCCACCTTGAAAACATGCCGAGTGACACACGCAAGGCATAAGAAGTTGCAGGATGCTGTCACTTATGAAAAATCCAGAGAAAACTCAGAACATTGGAATATTTTGTGTATGGGACCACACATGTAGGAAAAGTATACAAACATCCAGGGAAGTGAGCGCCGAGCTTAGCAGTATCTGTAGCATCTGAGACCCTGTCTCAGAATAAAAAGAACAAAAGAGGCTGGTGAAGTATCCAGTGCCATGGCCCAGAGTTCAATCCCGAGTATTAAAAAGAAGAGAGGAAAAAAA